CCAAGCACCGCCAGGAGTGACCAGGAATAATGGTCACAAGCTGGCAGAGGGTAGATTTAGGCTAGATATCAGGAGGCGCTACTTCAAGATCAGGGCGGCTAGGATCTGGAACCAACTTCCAGCAGAAGTGGTGCTGGCTCCTACCTTGGGGGTCTTTAAGGCGAGGCTAGATGAACACCTTGCTGGGATCGTTTGACCCCAGTACTCTTTCCTGCCATGGCAGGGGGTCGGACTTGATGATCTGCTCAGGTCCCTTCTGACCCCACCAACTATGAAACTATGAGAACAGCTCAGGGCCAAACAGGTGAGGGTTGGGGAACATCTGTATCATTTCATGTGGTCTGTGCTGCTCACTGACCTTCTCAGCAGAAATGACCAGGAGCTTCTGTATTGGGGAGGGGTGGAGGAATTGGCCACTGGACTTAGTCTATAGGTGGAGAAGTAAGAGGACCTGCCCATTAGGTACTTTAATGGTGCACAGATGGGTCATGTGAATAGACTTTGCCTCTACAGGAACTGTAATTCAAGGCCTGCTGTGAGGCACAGAGCACTGCAAACACTGAAGTGCCTAAGGGTGCTTTGGGGGACCTGGCACAAGGGGGTGAGGCCCACAGAAACCCAGTCTGGGGGAAAGACCCTGCTGGAGTGCATGGCCAACTAAGGGGAAGGAAAAACAAATGCATGGGGGTTGTACATTTTGGATGTGGGAAGGCAGGACAGCACTGCTGCACAAAGAGCTCTCCCTTTGAGATGGGAAGGTGGAGGCTGGAGGGGGCCTGGATGTACAGGGACATGCAAGCATGGGGCAGGCAGATTTGCTCCCTGAGGCATGGAGCAAAGGAGGATGATGGTGAAAGATTCCTAACTTCCCAGATGGCTGAGGGAGATAAATACAGCCTTAGGCAGGGAAATCCTATGTTTGTCTGTGGAAGGAAGCAGGGTCCAGGAGCATGAGGTCAAGACAAGGCATACTCCTTGTCTGTGGGTGGCAGAAAAGAGCTGGAGGCTGAAGTAAAGGGACTGGCAAGCTTTCCCATCCCTCCACAGTGCCACCTTCCCACGCCTTCCTTTGGTTCAAACCTGTCACCTAAGACGTGGTCTGCGTGCAATGTGGGTCCTTCACTCTCTACCCTATGCAGCCTATGGGAGCCTATGGTAAGAGAAAGCTGCAGGTGACCCCATAAGCATTAATTTAATGAAAGAAAACAAGCCTTGTCCTCCACTGAGGATTCAAAACCTGCAAATGCCTGCCCAGAGTATCAGTGGGGTCTTATCCCTCACTCTCTCCCTTCCCCACTTGCTGGCCAGGCATGAGCCACAGCTGTGACAAATAGCTGTAACTGTTCTCACAGGGGGACAGCCTTTTTCTCAGAAATCAACTCTTGTCTTGCAATCAGCCTGGATACTAACCAGACAGGCTAGACTTCTGCCTTCATTACCACAGATCACCCATGTTTTGAGGTTCTGGGATTCAAAATGTATACGAATCTTGGCATTACCCAAAAATGAACCTTTATGTTCTCCACACCCGGCCTCTGTGTGTGCATTCAGAGTCCCATCTGCTGACTTGAGTGACTAAGACGTCTCCCTCAGGTTTTGCTCTGGTTAATGAAGCCTGGCTGGCCCGGCAGCAGAAGCAGGGCCAGGGTCTAACCAGGCTCATGTGTCAGCAGTGGATTGCTAACGAAATTTTGAATGGAGAATCTTTGTTCCTAGCGATGTTCCAGCCACAAAGAAGCCCAGCTCGGCTTTCAAACCCCTGGTCTGGCAGTCAGTAAAAACATTGTCTCCCTGTAAGCCGAGCACGCTTGCTCTGAATTGCTGAGAGGCAAAAGCCAAAGCGGCTATTTTTCCTACAGTCTCTTGCCAGAACAGGGAAGAGCTTCTTAGCAGGCATGGCTAAGTATACATTGATGCTGCTTCCCACAAATGGCTATCCCCAAAAGGAACCAAAGGAGGGCTCTGAAGTGAGCGCTCAGTCCACGTGAGTGACGGACTGCAGTGTTTTACAGCGATCTTGAAAAGCTAAGCCGTCCTTTTGCTCTGGCTTGTGTCTGCCTGAATACGTGGAAGTTGACTGCTGACTGATTGCTATAGGGCTGCGTCATCTATCTGATTTGCAGTCCTTAATAGTGGTGCTCTATTTATAGACTGGCTTCATCTAAGGATCTCAGGGGCCTTGCACATGTTAATCTTGATAATTTTCCTTCCCTCTCCCACTCCATGCAAAAGAAGCAACTATTATGGAGGAAGAAAGTGAGGCAGAAAAAGATGCACTGATTTACCCACAGTCAAAGAGTGGACCGGGAGCTGGCCTAGAACAGAGCATAATGTTCTACCTTAATTATTATTGCCATTCTCCCAACTGCCTGTTTCTTAAATTTCTAAAATTTAAAAGAAAAATATGAAAAACCTAAGGCATTTGGTTAAGTGTACTCTGCAGGGAAGAGATGCGACTACTGCTTAAAGAACACCCATGCTAAAGCCTCCTGCAGAATCCATCCAGGCTGTAGAGTGCAAAAAGCCCCCCCACCCCCCGTGCATGTGTAATTGGTTAATTACAGGAACACGAACATCAACAATGATCAAATATTAATGCCACACATTGTGATATTTGTTCAGTCCAGAAAGCAGAAGGCTTTCAGAAAATCCTCAGGCTGTTGACGGTGGACTTTTTAATGAGAGGAGGCTGAACTGATGGACCGTCTTGCTGTGTGATTGGTGGAAAATGGGTCACTTAGCTATTGGGAGAATTATGCACTGCCTCACGGAGTTTCCGTAGATGATACATGTGAGGCCTGCTGTGCTAAGAGAGCCCGCACAAAGGCTTGCAGCCTGGAGAGAGGTGTGCTACACTGCAGGATGTGCCAGATGCACGACCTTGTGCTTTCTAGTACCCATGTGATGGGGGTGGGGTGGGGAGAGGTTGTGAGATGGTCTCTTTTTCTGCCCTTTTTATTCTGTAATCTGTTTCCTTTCCTGTCAGCTTTGAGAACCTGCCCTGCACCCCCACGAAGGAAAAAGAAAAAAAGAGAAAGGAAAAGAAAGCAAGGATAGGTGTCTTGTAACATCCCTAGCAGTTGCCATGGTAATCCAGGCTCTCAGCTTGGCCTTAGCAGGTAAGAGACGGAAGAATCTATTTTCCAAGTTTCTGTTAAAAATGCATCTATAGGTGTCCTTGTTTCTGCTGCAGGAAGATTATTCTGCCTGATTCAGCATCCATAACCAAATGGCTCTTCTGGAAGGCTTTAATGCATCTAAAAACAGAAGATAGGAGCTATTGCTTCCCTGCCTGACCTTGGGAGCAGACTGGCTAGTTAGCAGACTGGTTGTCTTAGTTTCCTCCTAGATGAATGTGGTGTCACAGAATCAGGATTTTTATAGCCAGTATGTGTATGAATACGATGTACACACATCTCATTTGCCTGGAATAGAAGTGCCCACAATGACAGCTCCCTTTGGCCAGAATCCCAGCCCTGTCATGAAGGAGCCAATTCCCTGAGCCTTCCTGTTTGAAAACCAGGGCTTGCTCCTTCAGGCCCGGCCCCTCCCTCCAGCAGATCCTAGTCCACAACTATTCACTAGGGCAGTAAGACTGCAAACACACGTCATAGTTTCATAGTTTGTAGGGTTGGAAGGGACCTGAGCAGATCATCAAGTCTGACACCATGCCACGGCAGGAAAGGATGCTGGGGTCAAATGACCCTGGCTAGGGTAGGAGTGAGCACCACTTCCCTTGGAAGTTGGTCCCAGATCCTAGCTGCCTTTGTGCCACCATAAAAATGTTTATAGCAGCACAAAGCCCAAGCAAACAGATGTCCATGGCCCTTGTTGTGCCTCAAATGCCTGAAATTTTGCCTATGAAAATAGGTAGTAAACATTTATGTTGCTTTTTTGTGTGTGGTAGACATCTGTTTGCTTTATGGCAGGAGAGCACGGGTAGCCAGGAGATGCCTGTGCTCTCCAGCTACCCCAGTCATGTGCTCCTAGGGCTTAAGGGGCCTTATCCTGCATGCCTTGGGAAGTCCTTTGCAGGGGATTCACCAGGTGTGAGTATCACACTGCCGTGCCCCAACTCAGGGCACGTGTTTGCAAACAGGGGAACCCCAGGGTTCCCCCACTTGCAATTATCCTGAAGGATCAGGCTCTTGAAGCCCCAGAAGTAGCAGGGGCCTGATCCCAAGGGACAACAGGCAATGTCTGTCACACAATGAAAGGCCAGCTGTTCCAGGATACAATCTGACACAGCTGATCCTAGCTGAGGACAACATCTGTTTATAGCTTAATTCTCCATTTTGTGCAGCTGTTCGGCAACATGAAGGAACCATGGAAAGGTTTGACTGCCCATCCAGACTGTGACTCCTTCCATGACTGTCTGAATAACCCTACTGCATCAGGTCCTTTCCCTCTTACTAGGGAACGTTTCACAGTGAGGATTTATCTACACCGTGACCAAGAAAGTCATGATAAATCTGCTTACTTTGTGAAGCACAAGTGCATCAAAGCCTGTTTGGATGCTGCCCTTTAGAGGGAAGGTGGCCTTAGTTCTCTGTAGTTTAATCCTTAGGAATAAACTGCTAAACTTTGCTTGTTGGTTCAGTTTTACTGAGTATCCTTGTGTACACAAGCCGTAAGTGCTTATCTCTCAGCAGTCCATAATGTGTGTGATTTTGGCACCTTATGTTGTGTACAATAGCTCCAGAAGATACAGAGGATGTTTATCTTGTTCTCAAAGCAGGAAATCACATAATGCCTTACTTCACTACTGATTTCCATGACTCCATCATCTCTGACTAGTTTCTACCATCCCTTTTTCCCAGGACGTCGGGATGCCTGTACAGAGGCTGTGCTGAGCATTGCAGGCTTTGGGGAATCGCAGGGGGACCTTCCTGTCCAGCTGGGGAAACATTCATTCACTTCCTCTATGGAAGGCCAGAGCAGAGGTCAGAGCTTTGTAGAATTGCCAGGATGTCACACCAAGGACATGCAGGCCAGGACTGTGCTCTGAGCTGCTTTTTAGTGTCTACAATGCTTGAGGAAGAAGGCTTAACAGCTAATCCCATGTGGAAATTAAATGGGTTATCAGGAGAAAGGCAGAAGACAGGGTGGCCTTATAGACTAAATCAGAAAGCCAGTTACAGGGTATGGGGTCACCAAAGAGCCAAAGTTCAAATCAGTTGTGAGTATAGGTTGCTGTCATGTGTCTGCAGAAGTCACAACCCTGCATAGGCTCACAACTGAAAAGAGGGAAGGGTGTAGGTATTCATCTGCTGCTTTTCTGATACCACTGACTACAGCACTGGCCTCACAACTGAGCAAGGGAGACAGGAAAATTCTGGTACAGCTCGAGTCCTTTTATGCCTTGATGCTTCCAGAGCAATGATGGGTAATGGCAGTCAAGGCTTCCTCCTCGCATCTTGCTGCTAGCTATTACATCAAAAACAGACCTGACCACTGTGAGGCTGGCCTTTGTGATCTCAAAGCTGGGCTCCTGCAATGCTCTCTAAGCAGTCTGCTAGTCCAGAGGACAGATGTCCCTGACTTTGGCAATGCTGGCCATACATAGCACATTGTCCCATGCTTTGCTCATGGTGATGGCTCCCTAAGGAGCATTTGCTTACAATTAAACTGAAGGGCCGCAACAGAGATGGTCGTAGTCACCTCAGGGCCTTCTCCTCTCTGGAGAAATACCCTTTTCTGAAGTTACCAACCACCTGGTTGATGAGGCTGGTTACCTAAAGGGGCCAAGGCTTGGGAGCTTGGCATAGGCACAGCTCTCATGGGCTGGGAGGACAAAACCCATGGTGCTCAGTGAATCCAGGAGAGCAAGCACCGCTAAAGTCTGGCTATACCATGCCCCAAGCATGTTTCACCAGGGATGTTTCTGACAATGCTCCACTTGAGAGTGACCACTGGGGAGGACCCCAGAGCAGCTTTACCACTGCATTTATGGTTTTGGGGTATGGGAGTGGGAGCAGGTGTGCTTGGGACAGCTTTGCCAGGACAAGCTGAGGACGTGGTGCAGGTACCCTAATTGCCACATGTCCCTGGGGGGATGCAGGGAAAAACAATAAACAAACTGAGGCTCTGTCTGCACTGCAGTAAGATACCTCAAAAGACAGCTTCCACCAAAAAAAAAAGCCAGTATGTTTCTTTAAAATGTGGATTTGGGGGTCTGGCTTATGGTTTTTTAACCTTAAAGGTTACCCACACTGGACTCATTTGGTTGAGACCTCTTTTAACAGGTTATTTTTCTCATTTTACGTTTAAATATTTTTTTTAACAGAGAAAAAGAAACCCGGTCCTGCACAAACCCAGGAGCCCCTGCATGAAAGTTAGCAGGGGTTGATTCCACACCTGCAGGACTGTGCAGATCTTTGTCCTCTGAGCTAAGGAACTACTCCTAACCTGCCTTGGCTAGTGTGAGGACTTGATGTATGTGGTCTGCCGGTGGGTTACAGCCACTGGCTCTCCAGCGGTACAATCCTGGGGTCGCTTTTGCTCCTGGCTCAGTGCATGGAGGGAGGTCTGAGAAGAAACCAGAGCTTAAAGGTGAGCTACCAGGCACACAGATTTAGTGCAGTTGTTCTGAAAAGCAGTGTGACCAAGACTATGGGATGTTACTGGGCATGTACATTCTTCACAGATCTCCTAAAGTGAGTTCCTACAACTTCTCTAAATTTGTTATAAAAAGGGAAAGGTATCAGACTGCCTTCCACAATAGGGGTATAAGGCCTCGTTCAGTCATAAGGTCAGGCAATAAGTGCCCCCCCCCCTCCCCCCGCATCCAGAAATTGAGTAAAGCTTAAAAAAGAAGTCCCGAGACTTTGAACATGTTGAGTCCATACCTAGTTTCAGCGGTGACAGATGACAGAACAAGGGGCAGCGGTCTCAAGTTGCAGCAAGGGAAGTTTAAGTTGGATATTTGGAAAAACTTTCTCATTAGGAGGGTGGTGAAGCACTGGATCAGGTTACCCAGAGAGGTGGTGGAATATCCATCCTTGGAGGTTTTTAAGGTCTGTCTTGACAAAGCTTTGGCTGGGATGATCTAGTCGGTGATGGTTCTAGTTTGAGCTGGGCGCTGGACTAGATGACCTCCTGAGGTCCCTGCCAACCTCATTTTCTATGATTCTATGTTTGGGATTTTTTGCCATATTTTCTCTGAAGTTGCTGGTGGGGCCTGTGCTCATGTGAGCTTTTGATATCCTAAGGTCAAGGAGACATTTTTAGCAGAAACTGGCACTGCTTTGACTTCAGGAGAGGTCACGTTAAGAACACTACCAAATCCTGTGCAAATTGATAGCGCTGCTTATGAAGTGCACAGAAATACAAGCGGCAGCCAGGACAGGTAGGTGATGACTCTCTTTCTTATATCTAGCTGTTTTCTTCTCTGTAATGAGCCAGTTGCCATGGCATATCTACACACTCAGGTCACTGCTGAAGCTTACTGATGGTAAGTAATATGCCTAAACTTGCTGTGGGGCCACTGAGTGCTGCTGCTCTCAGCTGCTAGATCAAGCAAGACTCCTGTGGTCATACCCCTCCTAACCACAGTGCCTACTATCAGCATGATTGAATATTCCCAGACACACTGGAGTGAGACCTAGGACTGAGATCTCCCTTGTACAGGGCCTAATCCAAGGAATGTGCAACTCCAATGATGTAACACCATTTTACTTCTGAAGGAGAGCACTGAGGCAGGGCCTTAAGGCATTTTAATTTCTGTGTGGTGACTTCACACCCTTAGGTGATTTTTCTTCGCTTATTTGAGTGCCCTTGAGGCAAGCCTGACCTGAGTGACTTGTACAAACTTCATCGAGCATCAAAGCTTATGACCAGCTTGTCTGAGGTGTTTTGCTTTCAGGAGTTTCCCCTCTGCACTGAACATAATTTTCCTTCAGTTATATGGAGCATAATTCAGCTTCTACCTTATAATGCCCGGTGTTTCTTTTATGCACTTGATTTGAGATTTTCAAGTCTATCCTAAGGGATTTAGGCACATACCTTGTTTAAAATGGAGGGATACATCTTACCCTTCTAGGCTGCTTTAAAAAACACAAGTTGTCTGAGTTTTTCATAGAATCATAGATGATTTTGTCAGATTTTAGAAAAGGTGTTTTTCCCTCTCATTTATACCCATGTGATTTGTAGCTGGGATTTTCTGGGGAGCCTAAGAGATTTAGGCACCTAACTTGTAATGAAAGTCTGTGTAGTAGTTTGGTGTCCAACACCCACAGAACATCAAAAAAGTCAGCCTATAACTCAAAGGGACTTGTGAGTGGGCTAAGAAAGGAAGAACTCTAAGGTTAATGTATCGCAGCAGGGGATGGAGAGTGATTTTAGCCACCAGAAATTGCATATGGCAAGGAGACTGTTTGATAGCATGATGCTTCATGTCTAATTTCCCTTCTGAATGTTTTCTTTCCTACAGGTATGCAGGCCATAGCGATAAACAGAACTGTCTTGCAACAAAAGAAATGCTAAAGTTCAACAGCTGGAGAGAATCCTGACTGTAATACTTACTCCCCCTCCTCTCCCGAACCCAAATTGAATCAAGACTGCAATGCACTAACAGTGTCACTGCGGGAACTCAAAGTAAGTGCTGTGCTGTTGCGTTGAGGGGAGTAGCGCTGTTCCAAGAACACCGAGGTTTCCAGTCCTGCCGTGTGTGGCTTCTGGCTACTGCCTCTTAAGTGCTTTTATTGCAACAGTGCTGCAGACATTCTGGGACCTGCAAGGGGACCTCAAGGACTCAAGTAAGCAGGTATGAGTCCTGAAGGCTGAACAAATTGAGGCAGTAAATTTCAAATCCAATAGCTCAATGAATATCTGGAGCCTACCCCCACACCTTAAGGCTTATTATGTAATGCAAGCTCACAACTGTGGGCAGCATGGTTTAATGCAGGGGTAGGCAACCTGCATTACACCAGCCTTCGGCTACCTGAAGAGGGTTCCAAAGAGGATGGAGCAGGACTGTTCTCAGTGGTGGTAGATGATGGAGCAAGGGTCTCAAGTTGCAGCAAGGGAAGCTTAAGTTAGATATTAGGAAGAACTTTCCCACTAAGAGGGTGGTAAAGCACTGGAACAGGTTACCCAGCAAAGTTGTGGAATCTGCATCCAGGGAGATTTTTAAGACCTGGCTAGACAATGCCTTGGATGGCATGATATAGTTGGGGATGGACCTGCTTTGAGTTCAGGGGGTTGGACTAGATCAGCATTTCTGAACCTGTGGATCATGACCCAAACGTGGGTCACAAGATATATGAAAGTGTTGCGAACAAACTTGAAAAATGGATTCTCCTTTAAAGGAGAAAACTGTGGGAAACCGTGGCTTTTTCCTTGCAGGCTGGCAGAGGCCCAGCATGCCAGGGGCTGCTTGGGGGCCCCCCATACCCTACACCCCCCTTGCCCCACACACTGGGGGTAGGGGGTAGCTGGTCAGGAGTGAGGGACACTGAGCTGGGACTGGCCATTGGTGTTTACAAATTGGTCTTAGTACATAAAAGTTTGAGAACCACTGGACTCGATGACCTCCTGAGATCCCTCTCAACCATAATTTTCTATGATTCTATGAGGGGTGGGCCAGAATGACCCACCCTGAATCAAGAAAGTGGGTAGGTGGGTGCTAGGACCCGGCTGCTGCCACCTCTTGTCTCTGTGGCAGAATGGGAAGAGCGACCGACCGCAGCCGAAGCTTCCCACCACTGAAGCCCCAGGGGCCAGATCCAGTGGTTTCATGGGCTGGATCTGGCTTGTGGGCTGTCAGTCACCAGTGGACCGTGCATGTGGCTGAGGGCCAGATGCACAGGCGTTCTAATCTCATTCGCTGTGACCCCTGCTGCGAGGTCTTTGGCAAGTCACTTAATTTCCCTGTGTCTGCTTCTTCATCTGTGGAATTGGGATAATTATTATTTATGGAACTCTCAGTGCTTTAGAGGTAATTAAAAATGATAGGCCCCTGTGAAGCAGAGCTTTTATTATCTACTTCACAGGGCTATTATGAACATGACATTTATACAGGGCTCATCAGAAGCATCATGCAAGCATTATCTGCAAGCTTCTCCTTTGGTAGGGCAGTGGTCCCATTACAGCAAGCCAGGTCTTTGTTGGGAGATAAATTACTAGCATGGACTTGGGGACCTTGCTTTCTTACTATATTCCTTTAAATTTCAGATATGCAAAGTAAAATGAAATATTTCTTTTCTTTTTCACACAGCCTGTTTCTTCAATTAGAATGAAAAAAGCAAAATAAAGAGTAACTAAAATAACATACTGCTTAGATAATGATGCTACACTGCACATGTTAAAAATACCAACAGAAGACATGAATGCCACAAGATACACAAACAGGAATGCAACTAATGAATATTATTTTTTATAAATATAACAGTTTTTCTATGCACCACAGAAGCTGTATCCTTGAAACTATATCTTTATTTGATGCTTTAAATTTCCCCCCCCTCTAAATCAAAAATCAGAAGATCTGGGGGAGTGTTAAACTCAGAAGGAATATAGTATTTGTCATAGGGACAGGAGTCCATTTTGCCCTGAACAAAGATGGATGCTGAACACATCAGCAAGATGTGATGTGGCAGAAACAGCCCTCAGTTCTTGGTAGCTCTTACCAGCACCTTCTTACCCTAGCTATCTGGCATTAAACAGTTTTTCTCCTAAAATTTTTTTCCAGCCCAAAGCCACATGTTTTTACAGGAGTTGCAGCATCTGGGACTTGAATGATGCAATGTGAAGAGTGCCATAGAGATATAACATAAGGAGTCCCTACCCCAGAAAGCCTGCAATTTAGGTTCTGGTAAGATGTACCAGGGGTGGGTGAATAATTCAAGTAGGGATGTGTGAAAAGGAGACAACAGTAGTAGAATAAACAAAGTGTAATGCAGCAAGCATAGCCTAGGCCAGGGGTTGTTCAACCTCCAGCCCACAGACCAAATGTGGCCCACAGAGCCATGGCATCCAACCTTCAGGGCTCCCTACAGGTTGGGATACAGCAGGGGAACAGTGGCAATTAATATAACTGCCCTCCTCTGCTGTCAAATTCCTGTTCTGTGCAGGGGTTGGACCTAGACCACAACCCTGCTTCCTGTACAGCCAGATCAGGGCTGAGCTATGCCCCCTTCCACCCATAGGGCCAGATTGGGGCCTGGCTGCCCCCCAAACTCCTCCATGCAGCTGGACGGGACCCCACCATGCCCACCCCCCAGTGCCAGATCAGGACCACCAACTGGATCTGGCCCATGGGCAGACTGGGCACTGCCCATCTAGCTTGCTGGGTGAAAGGGTTGAGCACCACTGGCCTAGGTAATGAGGTAGAAATAAGTCTGAAGTAGAAGTAAGTACGGTCTCCCAAACCACCCAGATTCAGCTGTTCCTAGTGCTGGGGCTGTGCTATTCCTGCTGGGTCTAGGAATTAACCCCTGTATCCAGTACTGTCCAGCACAACAGACCCCCTTAGCTTGGTTCAACCATATACCATGTTGACGGAAATGTTTTTTTTCCACATGGAAACCTCATACCCAGTACCCCTCCACACATGTTTGTCACTGAGCATCTTGACCAGGCTTTTTTTCACTGTTGAGTGTTCCTGTAATAAATACCCTATAACTTAGCCCCAGGCACCTCATTGCCACATTCATAATAACAGGAGGCAGTGATTGCAATGGATAGGGCACCGGCCCTGGGCCCAGGACATATGGATCCTCTTCCCAACTCTATCATTGGCTTGCTGTATAATTGTGGGAAAGTAACTCTACCATAATTGTGAGGGCTGAAGGTTCAGAAGTCCAGAGATTACACAAAAGTAGTTTTATAGAAACAAAGCTCATTTACATAGCTGATGAATGTTCAGTTACACTATAACATAAATATGTACCAGCAATTCAACTATAAAAGGCTGCAGAGTAGGACATAGGAAGTGTTTTGTGCAAGTATCACTGGCATCTCCCAGAAGCAAATGATGGCTGTCTTTGGGTTGTTTGTCCTAAGTGATCTGACTGCTCCAGCATCAGCTGGGAGATGCTCAGGCTGGACTGTCAATCTCTAGATGGGAGTCTATTTGCTGGGGTGGGTGATGACTCTGGTTATGGCTCAATGGCTGTGGTTTATGGACCCCACTGGATACAAGACTGGCTTTTGCTGAGCTCCAAGCCTACGGCTGCAAGGACATTTAGGGAGCTGTGCTCTAGCTTGCACCTCTGTTGTCAGGGCCTCTCCATCTGGATCTTGTTGCAGTGAGACTGTAGGTGGACTTGAACCACAGTGCAAAGCACGTAAACCAGGAACATCTGGCTACAGCAAGAGAATGAACAGCCTGCAGTACCTCTCTGCTCAACAGCTCCCCAGTCGCTCCCTCGTGCTGTGCTCTAGGTCTGCCCAATATCATAAGTTCCCTGCAGCAGGAACTGTCTCTTACAATGTGTCTGTCTGGCAGGGCCTAAATCTTGATTGGGGTCACAGAGCTTCTTTGGCATCCCTGGCATCCTGAGGTGGCTGGATCTAATGCAGCAGTATTTGAGCAGTCAGGGCCTTTCTGTCTGCTTAGCTTAGGGGCTCACTCTTCTCAGGGTCAAAAAAAGTTTCAAGTTATACCCTGTAGCCCAGAAGGTTGTATGTCCAGCCTTGGGTTTCTCCTTATTTTCGGGGTCACAAGTCCTTGGCCTTTTTGCTTCCAGGACCAGCTCATTCCCTTCTTCATGGGAGGAGAGACATGGAGGATCAAAGCCCTCTCCATTGTATTCCAGCCCAGTGACCCTGTGTCAAGCAATGGAAGACCATCCTTTCCTCTATCACTCTCTGTTTCCCATGGCTGCTTCCTGGTTTTGCTGTCTGCTCTAGATTTTCCACAGCTTCTTCAACCCGCTTATCTGTAGGCTTTCCAGAGCAGGGCTGCTGTCTGCTGTTGCAATACATGTGCCTATAGGCAAGGCTCATTATTACTACCCAGCTGTGTGTTTGTGCAGTCACCTCTCACCTGCTCCCCTCACAGTCCCTGCTCCAGCAGCATTCCTGCCATAGCTAGAGCACTGAAGCTTGAAGGGTCTTGGCTCTCTCTGGGGCCACCAGGACCTGGCATTGGACTGCCGGAGGGCTGTAAGGCTTAAGATTCCTGCTGTGCACTTCTCCCCTTCCCTTGCCTCTTTTATCCTTGCCCTTGACTTCCTTCTGACTAACACTAAAGCTAAGTTGCAGGATGATATGCTGTCCACAGCACTGTCCCAACTGAAGGGACAAGCTAGAGACCAGCTAGATGCCATTCCTGATGGGGAGAGGAACTGGGGCCCTTGAGTTGCACCTGCCGAGGACTGTGCTTCTCTTGCTTCCTGGGAACTCCATTGACAAACAGCCACGTTCCTCTGCCATGGCCCATGTTCCTTTCCCTTGCTCTGTTTTTAGAGCTGGACTAATTGTTAGTGATGAGTGCGCATTGAGCTGCAATCCAGCAGCCAGCCTGGCCTCTCTCTCCCCAGCTTCGCATCAGCCAAGAGCCAATTGGTGGGTCCCTTCCCTCTGCAGGACATTGCTACCAGCTCCCATCCAACTCCTCTGAAGGAAGAAGCATTTTCACTGTCAGATTGTAGTGCTGCATTTCATTGCTGGCTCTTCTCTTTGTTTAATAAACAGTGGAAGGAATTTTGACACAGTGGTTGCCCTGGCAACAAAGAGAAACTGCATGGAAGTCCTCTGGTCACCAGTAGCTGGCTGATGTTGTGGCCATAAATGAGAATGAATTTTTTTATTTAATTTTGAAGAGCTGGATTTTCTTTCCCTTCTGTGGGTCTCATTCCTTCTCCGTGCAGATGTTGGATACATGGGGGCAGTACAAGCTCCCACTGAAATAGGTCAGGATCGACAAGTCTGACCACTGCCCTGAGCTAGCCAGTGGAGCTGGGCTTGCAAGGTGAAGCTGACCTTTTCCCCCTTGGAAAGGGTGGTGAAGTGCTTGTGCTCCCCAGCTCTGCAGGGGATTCCATAGTATCCACCAAGACACAATGCCTTCTGCAGTTCCCGTGAGGACATGTGACACCAGCTGCCTTGCCCATGGACCCCAGGGTGCTTAGAAGCAATAACTGAGCAGCAGACTTGTGGGGTTTGCTGTCCATGTGGAACTTGGGGTCACTGGGGCTTATGTTTAAGCCACATTGGAAAAGGTAACTCAAGCTGTCTTCCCTTTCCTGGGCTTGCTTGTTTTAGTAAGTGCCTGAAATGACTGGTGGCAGGAGCTCACCTGCTCCCAGCCTCAGCTGCTTCATGCCCCAGGGAGGATGCGGTTGCCCTGAATGCTGGAGGAAGCAGCTGTCTCATTCAGAGCAAGAAGTTTTCCTGGTTACTCTGAGGAGAGCTGACCCAGTAGGAGCCATCATTTTCTCACTATGCAGACCAAAATGCTTCTGTTCAGCAATTGATGGCAATGTTGTTCTTACCTTTTCCCCATGCTGTAGTAAACTCAACTGCTCAAAAGCCCAGCAATGACCATTAAGGCATCATAAATCTCATACTGCCTGGATAGCAATAAAGCCCAATTTAACCAAAAAAAAAAAAAAATCTTAGCAACTCTAACTAAATGTTAAATAAATAGGCTCCAAATGCCACCAGATTTCTTTGATAAAGGGGCAAGAAACAAAGAAAGAATGCTATCTATGGTGCCGTGTATTGTCCACTGTCCCCCTAACGCTATGCTGTGTCCACTGCACACCTAACAGTGCCCTGCAGGATGAACATCACTTTTGCTACCGTTATTGGTAAGAGAGGCTAAAAAATGTCCAGTCATTTAAGTGGCAGGCCAACACTTACAGCCCATATGCTAATGATTCCCCAGCCAATGCCTTCTATCCTGCAGTCCTAGTCCTGTTGTCTAGGCTACTTGAGCTTTGTTCTTAATTATCCCATCTGCAATAAAATGTGGCTAATAATAATCATAATGATGATACACTGCACCTACACTGTGCTTTTTTCTCTGCTGCTTTGCAAAAGTGGATGGGAGCAATCCTGTTTCTGCAGGTAGCCTGCCTGAGAACAGAGATGTTCAGCAGTAGGCATGAGGGCCTCACATGCAGGCCTATTGGTTCCCCGAACCTAGTTCTGCTTTATCAGTGCTGGGAGTGCCCAATGTAACTGCCAGCTTGATTGAATGATGTAGGTCAGACTCCCTGCCATCCTGCCTCTTCTGTAGTGATACATGGCTACTACATCTTGTGCAGCTGCTAGTACTATGCTCAGGTAGGAAAAACTGCATCACAAGTGAAAATTAGGCTTTCTAAAACTCCATTTGGAAAACAGAGCTGGGTATCTTCCTCCTAGACAAAGGCAAATGGAGGGAAAGGAGCCTTGCTGTCAGCTGTGGGGCTTGCTTGTACTTTTTAAAAAGGAACAAGATGACCACTGGGCTGATCTCTATCATTTGGCTCCTTTCAGCTTTAGCAGAGAATCTGATCTAGTTTCCGTATAAAAGCACCTTCCACAACACTTTTCTATCTCTGCTACTCGAAAATGGATGAGACTGTGCTAAAACTTATCCATGTTTCATGAATACCATGGTGAGATGCAAAGTCAAGGGATGCATAGAAGTGTTCAGCATGTTGCTAGCCTCATAGAAGGGTGCTGTTTATTTTTAATCTATAAACATGATGGTAGTCTTAAGTAGAGTTTAGGTTATGGTGTGTATGGGCTGGTTTGGATAGGGATAATCTTGTCTCAGGCAGGGGGTTGGACTAGATGACCTCTGGAGGTCCCTTCCAGCCCTATTACTCTATGCTTACTTCAGTGAAATATTATTTCCCAAGAAACCTCAGGACTTTAAAGAGGTTCACCCTGAACAGGGGTAACAAATTCACCTTTCCTTATGAGTCAGATCCAGATCACTGTTTTTTCACAGACTAGATATGGTGGTGGCAGTGGGGTGAGCAGTAGTGGAATGGGCTGCAGTGTTTAACACAGCTATTGCTTGATTTAAGCTGCCAACATGCACCCCAGTGGGGCTCCATGCCTCAGATTTCAGCAGCAGGCCTCACCCCTGCTTGCCCTGGTCCCTTTACAAGACCCCAAAACCATATTTTTGACACCCCGATCTAGAACAATGACTGTGGAAGGCTTAAATATGTACATTTCTTATACATATAGACACTACATTTGAAATTACATGGATGGGAAAAATTAGCCTTATAAAAGGACTGGGGCTGCAACCTTAGTTATGGAAGGGACTTCATGCACCTGTGTCATGCGTATGTGGGTAGTGACAGAACTCAGAAGGAAGAGGATGGGAGAACAGGCTTGCGACAGGCGTGAATCACACTGCTGTGTGCACCAGAGGACATTATTCAGCTTACAGCTGTATGCCAACAGTTACAGAGTTGAAAGGGGCCAGGGGCTTCCCACACTCCTGGCCAGCTCTTACCTTCCAGGACCTGACAATTAATCCAGGGCAGCTTTCTTCTCCAAGAAAAAGACATTAAATGGCCCCAGTTCAATTTTCAGCTACAACTTATCCCCTAGCTCAGATGCTACAGCAAGGAGTGTTGTATAAGGACCTATGTGGGAGACCTGTTAGAGGTGCTGTGTGCTGGGGACATCTTGGGGCAGCGATGAGGCAAAGAAACATTCTGTTTATCCCCCCATGAAACATTTCACCTCCTCTCTACCCTGGGGCCATCTCGGACATCTTCAGGCCCCAGCAGCCATTGTCCTGGGGGCAGGAGTTAGTCACAGAGGGGTGGGGCTGGAAGGGACCTCCAGAGGTCGGCTAGTCCAGCGGTTTTCAACATTTTTTTGTGTCAGGACCCATTTCTAAACATTGATGGCCAGTCCTGACCCAGTGCCCCCCACTCCTGACCCCTTGCCCC